CATTTCTACAACTTGAGCCTGTTTTTTTATTGGTTGCCTATGATTTGTTGTGTTCACCAAAGTAATTGCTGAGATCTGTGAACACAGAAATTCCACAGCCAAATTACCAGATTCCCCGAACCAGGAATTCTCTAAACACACACATCTCCCCTACTTCCCCCAAACAAACATTCAAGCTCTGTCAAGTTCATCTAAACATTTTACTCTCTAGGGTTAGCTACTGTAGCTTGTTGCAGTAGGAAAAAGACAACACACAGTGTGGAAGAACTACTTCAGTTTGAAACTGGTGTTCATTTATTTATTTTCCCCACTAGCAAACATTTCTTGGCCAGGTACCTTTACATCAGTGGTGGAAAGTAACTAAGTACATTTACTTAAGTACGATCTTGAGGTATCTGTAGTTGAATATTTTCATTTTCTCCTACTTCATACTTTGACTTTACTACATTTTAGAGGCAAATATTCTATAAATGTATTTGTGATACCTGGTGGAAGAGTCATAAAATACCCAGCAGTATTTCAAATTAGAAGCAGTACCAGCTGCAACATCAAGTGTGATGCACAATAATATGATATACATTGTGAAATGTGCTATTCTGCACAATGAGTACTTTTGATACTTTAAGTATATTTTGATGATTTTACTTGTAACCGAGTATTTTTACATCGTACTTCCTCCACTGTTGCTTTTCATGTCCTGGGGCCGGGGGACCCATGTAAGTAATAATCACTCTCTGCATGAAAACTGTATGTACAACTACGTACAAGTACAGCAGGTCAAAGTGTTGTGTTCTAGTCCAGTGTGGTTTGTTTTAACTATGTTTCTGTGTTTCCAGCTCTCAGCAATTAGTCTTGGTCAGTATTATTATAATCAATGAAAATGATGGACCAGGCTACAGAAAAGGAAGCATGAAAATGGAATCGTAAGTGTATTAAATTTTTGATTGAAGTAGGCCAGACTAACTGTAGAATGAAGCTTTCACTGTGGTCTCCTTGTGTTCCTTTCATTATTTTCAGACAGATAAGAGCCACAGGTAACCATTTTCTGTCTCAAAAGTCTAAGAGGAGATTTAGAGAAGATGAATTTTTCACTCTTTCTTTGTTGGTGACATTGTGTTTGCATATTGGGAGCACAAGGTTATATCCACGTCATTAGTCTCTCTGCTTGGATCCAGGCCTGATAACCGCACCGCCATCACAGTTATATTCACTTCAGTTCTAAAGGTTCCAGAAATTGTCACTCTCTCTCTGTCGCTCATGTTCACTCGCACTCCTACCACTGTTCCCATGAGACACGGCGCTCGGCTCATTGCCCACCACACACACAAAAGGGAGTTCTCTTTTTCCTCTACTTGCTGGGCTTACACGCACACACATACAGGCCCCAGTCGCCACCCCCAACTGAGCACACAGGGTTAGCTGAATATTCTAGACACTTTCAATTTTTCAGGCAGGTCTGCGAACCCCCCTCCCATCATGCAGCGCCATCACACTCAAGGGAGTTAGAATTTTGACCGTCGTTAGCGGGTCATCTGCTGTCCCTCGGGGATGGACTTTAAAGAAAAGATTTGAATTGACTTTCTTTTTATTCTCTTTTCATCTAGCCCCTTCAGTTCTCTGTGTGGCTCTGTCATAATTCCACTTCCTGTCTTCAAGGCCTAGCAATATTCATCCCCCTCAAACTCGTCTCTGCCACCAAATTCATCAATCAAAGACGAGGTCTTCCAAAGCCATTTTTATAACTCCCAATGTCATGCTTCTTACACCGCTGTCAGAAGTGGTGACAGAGCTCCAAACCGCTGGTTATGCCACTGTAAGGCGTTTATCCACTTGTATAATGTGCTGTAGTGCTCACACAGGATCAAATATGGGATGTGAGGGAGATGGCTTCCAGCTGAAAGAGGACAAGTAGGACGCGGGAAGATGAGAAAACATTTCTTCTTCTAACTCTTTTGCACTAATATGAATTCCCAGTGTAACGTCTGGCGAAGTGGGTCAGTGGGATTTAAAAAGTGTGTGCTTTTTTTTCCTCCTGCCTTCTTCACATAGCCCTTGTCAATGGAAAATGAGCAATGCGATTAGGAGAGGGGAGGATGATGAGCTCGAGCAAGTGAGTGAAAAAAGAGAAAGACAGAGGTAGGAGACAGGCTGCGTGGTGGTGTGGCCCGTTCACAGCTCCCTCAGCAGCTGACTGAGAGACCCAGACAGGAAGGAGAGGGAGAGATTTGTATCTGTGCTCCAGAGGAAGGGAGTGGCTGATGTCTCTTCATCTTGATATTGAAGCAACAATCTAATCATTTCTTCAGGGAATATGCATACGAGTGTAATCGGTAAATAGGAAAAGATAATTATTTGCCAGAAGTCATACCATTTGCACCTATAAGCGTTAAGCTGATACACAGCATTGCGAGTTTTCTATAATTCACAATGGAGATGGTTTATTAGCAGCTGGATTATTTAGTTAATTTATAATAACTAAATTAATTTCCCAGTTATTGAATATTTTATAGTGGCTGTCAAAATCTAATGAGTTAAGTTTGGTTAAATACAAACGAGGCTCTCTGTAATTTGCCAGAATGTTCCTCGGGGTAAGTTTCTGCCAGTGAAGGTGATTGAATGTTACAATTAAATGTACTAATTCATTGTCAAACGCAACTTATCTATACACATGATATATTTGACGCTTAATTGGAGAGCACATTAAGAAATGGTTTCTTTGGTGACTTTCTACATCACGGCCTAATCGGAATAAATTCTGCCCACTGTAGTGAATTGAAGTTGAATATTAGTAGAGGGGCTATTAAAGAGACTGGAGTGAATTATTTAAATGCTAATTAATGTTTTAAGCTTTCCCACTTGAAATAGACATATTACTCCTCAGTCTCCCAAAAACTGCTAATTTCAAAGTGCAGTTGCTTATTTTTCATTCGATCAATTGAGCAGCAGTGGTGCTTTTACCCATGGAGCTCCCTCAATAGAGGAAGATGGACTCCATCAATACTGGAAGATACATAGTAACCAACTCTAGCTGGGAAATCAACCCACAGGCTGCATTGATGAAATGATTCAAACCTTCTTTAGTCTGAGAATTTTCACTTGTTGGCTTTTCTTTTTTTTTTATGTTATGTTCTCATCAACACCATACTTGATTTTTTTTAGATGTGTATCTCTGACTAGGGTGCAGTGGTTAGTGCTGCTGTCTCACAGCAGGAAGGTTCTGGGTTTGAGCCTCAGTCGACCCGGGGCCTTTCTGTTTGGAGTCTGCACGTTCTCCCTGTGCCTACCTGGGTTTTCTCCAGGTACTCCGGCTTCCTCCCACAGTCAAAACACAGGCGGCTTAGGTTGATTGGTGACTCTAAATTGCCCGTAGGAGTGAGTGAGAGTGTGTGTGGTTGTTTGTCTACATATCAGCCCTGTCATAGACTGGTGACCTGTCCAGGGTGGACCCTGCCTCTTGCCCAATGTCAGCTGGGATTGGCTCCAGCCCCCCCAATCCTATTCAGGAATAAGTGAGATAATGGATGGATCTCTGATCAGTTGCGTGTGTTTAGTAAATGTGTAGTGTTTTGTGCTCAGTCATCATTCAGCTTAGCTTTAAAGAGCAGCAGCAGCCTCCGATGGAGCCGCAGACATTAGACAGACTTCATTAGTGTTGAAACAGTATAAGTTGTGGTTCAACTCTGTGTTCGAAGCAACCTCTGAAGTTCTTATGCTCTAATGTGAGCAGCAGTAGCATTATTCATGGATTCACAATAGCTTGTTATTCATCATAAGACAAAGGAGAATCTCACTTGGCTTGACATAGATGGAGGAGGGCCACAAGAGTATTATTCACATCTGCTGAAAACAGTATGCACAGCCAACTGGATGTCACGATACAGCATGTTTATTAATGCAAACAAAGTCTCCCTACACAGAATATAAATGACATTTTCCTTCACATCAGAGCATAAATATTAATTGTGTTAAATCTATGATGTATTGTGGTTAGGGAGCTGCTTTAGTTGTTTATCGTTACACCAACCGGATGCGTTTTATTAATCAAAGCACGACATCATGTGACACCATACTGTGAGGTGCATTACAGCACACAATGAGGTGTTGAATTGAAAGCTGTAGTTCCCTTTAATGCCACAAGGTGGCACTGTAGGCTCAGACATTTTCACACCAGTCAAGTCTCTGGTTTTCATCTTGTTTATTGATATGTAATTGGATTTCATTGAACTTGAACATAAAACATTATAAACCATCAACAATATCCTGCTTTCATGTGTACACACTAATGCCAAAGCCTAATATTCAATATCATTCTCTCAGCTTTGTAGAGCTAGAGTGTGTTGTTCAGCAGCTCATAAAAACAATGGTATCATAGTTGCAGTGTGCACAAATAATCAACTGAAGGCCTCTGGGAAGCTTGTCGACTCGTTCCCTCTGCTCTTTCTTTAGGTATAGAGTTTGCACAGCTGTCAACGGAACACAAATGGCTTTACGCCTTCTTCCTGCTGCAAGACGTGTTGCTTTCAGCTGGCACCTATTCAGTCTACCTTATGCAGCCTGACAGCATTATAACTAGGTTGACTATTGTATTATACTTTTTGATGTTTCCCCTCCAAGTTCTGTTGTATTTCAAATGACAGAAGCTACAAGAAACTACAGTATTTTACTTTTTAGCAAAGTCATGCCACCATTCGATCAGAACCCTTTATTCCAAATCAATATGAGGTGCTATTTGGTGACATGGCATGCAACGTATCTTTTTGTCTGTGAACCAAAAGTAAATCTTCATGTCACATAGCGTAATCAGTGCAGGCCTTATTTAAGCATTGCTTCCCTCTCTATCAGTCCCTGCACCATCCAGACTAACTTTATGGTCAACCTGAAACTAGTATTATGCAAGGTGTTATACTGTCCTTGTGATCAGTGTGTATAAATCTGTCCTTGTGTTAAGAATACTACTGTCCTTGTGATCAGTGTGTATAAAAGGCACTTCTAGCTTTGTCAAGAACATAAGCTCTTACATATGTAGATAGACTGCCAAATCTCATCACTGTACCCCTATACACATAAGGTGCACACGTGTACGTACTGTACGTAACAATGCTGGTATTAGACACACCAGTACTACTAATAATCACTGACAAACACAGTGTATGCATGCATGTTTCTTGTTGGTATCCTGCTCACAGGGCTGCAGCAGTCTGGTTTTACTGCTGCCTTGGCCCTCTGAGTGAGGAACTCTCCCCTCTCCATAAACCACCCTGTGATGCTTGCCTGGGAATCGGGCAGGACAGAATACTAATTTACATTGTGTTGAATCCGCTTAACACTCTGTCCATGTCTGCACAACCCTGCTGAAGTTAGCTTTCCTACAAAGGCAGCTGACTTGTTGAACTTGATCATTTTCTAAACTAAAAAGAAATTCAGAGACAGCTGTGCTTTTAAATTTTGGGATTACAATGAAAGCAGTTACCTGGTTGTTTTGAACTAGCCTGAATCCTTTAATTGTGTTTAACTGTTAAAAACTGTTGTGATTACAAATGCATTTAAAAAATGAAATGTTTCCTTTTTATTCTGCAGTCATTTAACATCATGTCTTCCCTTGTATTTCATGATCATCTTTGCATACTCCAGTCCTGACCGGTAGATGGTTCGGCTCAGCTTGGCATCGGAAAAGTCCACATGGAACAACCCAAAACGAACACTGAATCCATCAGCCCATTCAAAGTTGTCCAGCAGTGACCATGCAAAATATCCACGGACATTGACCCCGTCTTCTTCAATAGCTATGCAAGAAGACAGAAATAAAAGACAGAAAGGAGCTGTAATTTTGTCTAATATTAAATGCAAGAATCCTGTTTTTAAAACTGAATCAAACATAGCTAAAGCCATGTAATAAACCCACGCCTTTTAATATGACACATGACAAAATAACATCATGAAATATTTAAAGCACACCAGGAACTTATTGCAACAGATGAAAACTAGTGCAGCCTGGTTTTGAGCTTGTTGGCCGCACATCAGATCACACATTAACCACTGACAATAAGGAAAAACGTACTGCACATCAAATCACACATTAACTAACCACTGACAATAAGGAAAAACGTACAAGTGTTGCCTGAACAATTAAAATATTCTTTTTTGTTAGGACTGTTAATCTCTTTTCTTTATCTATCCTTAAATAAAAGGCCAATGTTCATTGACCCAGCTGGCCTTTTTTTAAAGTGGAAATGTTCACATGTCACAGTGGGAAGAGCACATTGCGTATAGCTGGTTTGGTTGCAGCATCCTGATACTGCACATACTGGCTCACTGTCAAAGTGTCACACTGCCACAGTTGTTCAGTAGCCAATTTTCCCATATTCCTGGCAATAGAAAAAATACACAGTGACCAGATGGTGGCGCCAAAACAAAGCACTTTACATGTGGGCAGCTCCACAACCCTGAGGACTAAAGCTTAGGTTGATTTCTTCTGTAGTGGAAGCTCAGGAAATAATTGGCACATCTAGGTTTTTGTTTTTATCAGGATAACTTCCCTGAGTCTGAATCCCCCGGCAATGTAATAAACTTGAACACAGCACTCTGAAAGGATTTGTCCATGTGCCACAAGAGTGTTACTGGCAAAGATCTGCTAAACAAAATTTAGAAATTTTTCATTTTAAAAAGGACAGTATGCATTTTTCCCATTGCAGACATTCAAATGTGTCATAAAAAAGTAAGAACCATGGGCTAGTACAGTATATTATAAAATAGGCTAGTGCATACTGGCACACTCGCCTTCCCCAGGGTCTGAAAGTGAGAATAATCAAAAAGTACTTAATGCGGCGGACACCAATATTTGCACATCCAGTTTGTGACTGATTGCAAGAGGGGCTGATGGTGTATCAGACCACCCTCCTGCTAAATATCGTTCACTTTACAAGCCAGTATTTTAATTTCGTAAAGGACAATGCCATCATGCAAAATATTTTCACTGCCATTTGCACCATAAACTTTGACTCTGCTACTCTTTCCTAATGACCACTGGCTTATCTGATTAGATTTATCAGTCAGTACCTTTGCCCACTTCCATGATGGTGTCACTGTAAAACTCACAGCGCTGGACATCGTCAATCTGCCGTGGCCCCACCTGAGAGAAGCCATTCTCTGTGATGTAGACTGCTGGGTTGTTGAAAGTGTCCTGAAAAGTCATGGGGCAAATATCACTGTCAAACAAGGCCCCACGGCTGTCAGACATGCCAAGGAGAGACAGACTGGTCTACAGTGTACCGTTTAGCTGCATTTCACCGGTGCCAAGCTCAAACTAATGGCCTGTGACAAGTCACAACAGCAGGAAATTGCTCGTCTGCAAACACTTTTCAGCAAAGTAACAGTTTCATTCAAGGTGACAGCACTAATGAGGCATCAGTGTGTTTCTTAAGGTGTTATAAAGAGATTACTGCATACACGTGCAATAGCAAGACACTAAAATGTCAGTGTTCTTGTTTGGTTGAAGGTGATTGAAGGTGATTTGGTTTGATGCTGAGAGAGAAAAGAAAAATGACATTACATTTCACCAGTTTACCCTTGTGTTAGGGTACTTTTTAGAGAAGTGGACTGAGATAGTTGTTTTCTAGCAAAAGCAGATCAACCAAAAAATGTAGTTTTACTTGTAATGTTACCTTGATATACTTCAAAAGTTTCCTTAAGCCATGGGGCACTACAGCCAGCCAGGACACGCCACAGATGGGCCAGGACGGATCCAAAACTTCTTCTGCATCTCGGTCGCTGTTTAAACACAACATCTGTCCGCAGCCTTCACCTGCCTTGACTTTGCGGGATGTATAGTAATTCAATGCAAAGAAGTCAGCCGTGCCAAAAATGGCAGGTTCATC